GGTAGTTCTATTTGTCCTTGGGCTTTGGAGTGTCTGTCATGAAAGAATAAATGAATAAGTGCCTGGTATATACTAAATAGTGTGATAAGCACTATATACACAAGAGTAACAAGCCAGATATGGTTTCTGGTCTTTCTTTTTATAAAAATTTACTTGTTGTTGTTGAGAATATACACAGCAAAACATGCACCAATTCAACAATCTCTGCATATACAATTCAGTGACATTGATTACATTCTTCAAGTTGTGTAACCATTCTTACCCTCCTTTTGGTTTCTGTTTTTAATTTAAATTTAAATTTGTCCTTGGAAAAATTATTTAAGCTAAGGCCAACCAGATTTCAGGAATTATTTCTGTTTCCTGTATCTTTAATCTCCAAAAAAGAAACCTGCTTTGTTGTCTTAAGTGATGATTTTTTGCCCTGGTTGTTGTTATTAGCTGCTGTGGAGTGGGCCCAACTCACGGCAACCCAATGTACATGCTACCTGGTCCTTCGCCATCCCCGACAGTGTTATAATGGATAGAGTTTACATCTTTCGTTATCAAATGGTATAAACACGCATAAGTCAAAAGAAAATCTTTGCTTGTCCCTCTTCTCGCATATGCTAGGTAATCAAATCAAGAATTTGAAAGTCTGCATCTCATTTATATTGGCAAACAATGACAAGATAACGGATCACTAAACCGAGCAGGGACTTGAGAGTGAAAAATAGTAGCACCTGCTGGCTAGTCAAAGTAAAGTCCGGCAAAGGGAAGAAGAAAGAATAACTTCATTTGGCTTTAAGCCTTTTCTCTTCAATCTTTTTTTAGACAGTTTGGAACAATGGAGCTAAAGATTTGTTTGCTAAGAAAACCTTCAAAACCTTGGGAAAGTATTGCAGTATTATTGCTTTGTTCACCAAGTATTTTTTTACTCTCCACTTTTAGGCTAAGGAGTCCCTGGTGATGCAAACATTTAAGCGCTCAACTACTAGCAGAATGGTCGACGGTTTACAAACTACCCAGAAGGCCTTGGAAGACAAGCCTGGCCATCTGCTTCCAAAAGGTCACAGCTTTGAAAACCCTATGGAACAGTTCTACTCTGCACGCATGGGGTCACCATGAGTTGGGATCGACTCCACGGCAACTAACAACAACAGCCTTCAGGCTTATGATAGAATTGCCCTTCTCAGGCACCTTAAGGGTTGAGTGGAGCCATGTGACTAAATCTGAAGCGTTTATTTGCAGGTCTGAGAACTTCATTTCTTTTTTGTTCCACTGCCATGACTGGCCGTGTTTCAGATAGTGGCTACTCAGCCTGTGTCCCCAAGTTGGGACAACGCTAAGCAGTGCCTCCAGCAACCTATTATGCATGGATGTGTAGCAAGAAAACAAAAACAAAACCTTTTGTTGTTTTAAGCCACTGAGATTGCGGAGTTGTTTGTACTGCATCATAACCTAGCCTATCCTAACTGGTACAGTGTTTTTGGAAATCACCTATGCACAGGGATTTTTGTCATTGCTATTGCATCGCCTGCAGCTGACGTATCTGAGGGTTGCCTCATGGAATAAAAGTGTTGTATCAATTAGCTTTTGCTGTATAATAAACCACCCAAAAAATCTGATGGCTTATAACAACAACCATTTTTTTAGTTTATGATTCTGTGAGTCAGCTGGACTATATTGGCTTGGCTGATCTCTGCTGGGCTCACACATACATCTACGGTTATCTGGCAGCTGGCAGGAGGCTGGTTGATCTAAAATGGCTTCACTTCTATGGCTGGCAGTTGGCAGGTTCTTGCTGACTGGCTCTTGGTTAGAATGATACGGAAACTGGGCCACATGTCTCTCATCATTTACCAGGCCAGTCCCAGCTTTATCAAATGGTGGCTGTAGGGTTTCCAGGAAGAGCAGTGGAGGAATCTACAAGGTCTCTTGAGTTCTAGGCTCAAAACTCATCACACATCACTTCCACTGCATTCTATTAGAGCAGTCGTTGTTGTTGTGTGCTGTTGAGTCGATTCTGACTCATAGCAACCGTATAGGACGGAGGATAACTGTCCCACAGGGTTTCCAAGGAGCGGCTGGTGGATTCAAACTGCTGACCTTTATGGTTAGCAGCCGAGCTCTAAACTACTGCGCCATTAGGGCTCCGGAGCAGTTATTAGGCCAACTCAGTTTCAAGGAGGGTGGGGAATAGATTACACCTCTTGATGGGAGGAGATACAAAATGTCGTGGCCATTTTTTTTTTTTTTTTTGTACTTTAGGTACAAGTTTATGGCCCAAGTCAATTTCTCATACAAAAATTTGTATATATTGTTTTGTGACATTAGTTGCAATCCCCACAATATGATAGCACACTCCCTCTTTCCACCCTGGGTTCTCTGTGTTCATTCAGCCAGTTCCTGTCCCTTCCTGTCTCCAGACAGGAGCCATCCATTTGGTCTTGTGTATCTGATTGAACTAAGAAGCACACTCCTCATGTGTATTATTTTTTGTTTTATAGTCCTGTCTAAATTTGTCTGAAGAGTAGACTTCGGGAATGGTTTCAATTCTGGGTTAACAGAGCTTCTGCGGTCCATAGTTTCGGAGGTTCTTCCAGTCCCTGTCAGACCAGTAAGCCTGGTTTTTTTTTTTACAAGAATTTGAGTTCTGCTCCACAGTTTTCTCCAGCTCTGTCTGGGACTCTCTGTTGTGTTCCCTGTCAGGGCAGTCATTGGTGGTAGCTGAGCACCATCTAGTTCTTTTGGTCTCTCAGACTGGTGAAGTCTCTGGTTTATGTTGTCCTTTAGTCTCTTGGGCTAATATTTTCATTATGTCTTTGGTTTTCTTCACTCTCCTTGGCTCCAAGTGGATGGGACCAATTGATGCATCTTACATGACCGCTCACAAGCTTTTAAGACCCCAGACGTGTTGTGGCCATTTTTGCAATCTATCTACAGGTAAAGTCCAATCTATGGGTCCACTGGCAGTTGGACTAGAGGAAGAACTCTTGTGGTTCTGTCCTCTTGATATGTTTCTATGTCAATTTTTCTTCTTTGTAATATTTGAGGCCTTGTAATTGAGTTTTCCACACTGTTTGTAAAAAAGAAAAAGGAGCAAGAGGCTCTTTTATTATGTCCTTCCTTACCTGTCAACTATTAAGTCAAAAATCTCTTTGAAAGTCCCTGGGTAGCACAAATGGTTTGTGCTCAACTACTACCTAAAGGTTGGCAGTTTGAACCCACCTAGCAGCACAGCAGAAGACAGGCCTAGTGATCTCCTTCTGCAAAGATTATAGCCAAGAAAACCTTATGGAGTAGTTCTACTCTGAAACACATGGAGTCGAGATGAGTCAGAATCGACTCCATGGCGATGGATTTGGTTTATTGATTGCATCCCGATGCAGGATTTCTGGGAGTCTCCCTCTTCCCTAACCACAATCCCAGCATATCTCTAAGAGGCAAAACCCATAACCTCAAAAAACTGACTTAGGTCATTCAAGAAGAGCCATGACAGCTCTGGGAGAATAAGCATAGTAGGGAAGGCACGATTCCCAGGAAGTTCAGGGTAATTGTGGATAATGCCATTTTGATTTGTTGACTTGTCTAAGCTAAACTACAATCTTCAGCAACCTCTTTCTAGAATGTTTTTGGTTAAGATGAAACTATAAGGAGCATTCTCTCTCAAGAGCTGGAAAACAGAAGAAACCAGCAGGGGCTGTAATACCCACCAGCCTCTGTTCATATCCCAGCCTCATCCCTTCTGGGCCAAGGCATTGTTTGAGTCTTGGGTTCTGGACTTGTACCAGGGTCCCCAACCCCATGCTCCTCCACCAGCCCCTGAGGAACTGGGCTGACTCTGCTAATATTTCTGTCTCACAGTGACAGGGAGCAGACTTCAGGCTAATACAGCAGACAAAGTTCTCTCTTCCACCTGTCCCCTAAATGAGAGTCTGGCACTTCCCCATCCTGAGCTGCCAATTTATCCCACAACAGTTCAGACCTCCTTCTGTGCTATTATAGGTTTCTTAGAGTTGACAATTTAGTTCCTTATAGCTAAATACTTTCCTGTCACCATGTGGTTATCTCCAGGATTGGGCTGGGGGAAACAGAAAGTCCCCTGCACTAGACTGCCCCCTTCTCAGGAAGCAGCTTAGATAATATACTTCCTAACTGGCTAAACTGTCTTGGCAGAAGTACAACCAGAATGCTTCTTAGAAGCAAGGATGGTGAGACTACCTCTCACATACTTTGGACATGTTATCAGGAGGGATCAGTCCCTGGAGAACGATGTCATGTTTGGTAAAGTAGAAGGTCAGCGAAAAAGAGGAAAACCCTCAAGATGGATTGACACAGTGGCTGCAACAATAGGCTCAAGCATAGCAACGATTGTGAGGATGGCGCAGGACTGGGCAGTGTTCCGTTCTGTTGTGCACTGGATCACTATGAGTCAGAACCAACTCGACAGCACCTAACAACAACAACAACTGGCTAAACTAGATGAGCAGGGGTTTTCTGCGCCTTGGAGCTGAAAGCTTAATAAATAGAAGGAGAGAGGTGAAGGGAGTCTTCAGCGCATGCATGTGATTTGATGGGACTAAGCCTGTCAGTTTTGAGGATCGTGGGCTTTAGACATGAGTTCAAAGGGAATTAATTTCTGACACATCTGCCTTCTGGCCCAGCAGGGCCCTCCTCTGTCTCCACATTTCCTGCACCCCTTTCTCCCGAAGCCCTGGGTGGCTTCTGCCTCAGCTTCTCCAGTGCTGACAAGTCGTCCTCCTGACCTGACGTGACCTGACCTAGTGGCTGCCAGCCCACAGCAAGCCCTTCTTGGGTCCACAAGGTTGCACAATATGGGGGAATGACCTGTGAATGGAAAACAACACTGGTGTCCAGTAAGTTCTCTTTTGCCGTTTTCTGGGAAGAATGACCTGGGGAAGGATTTTTCCAGGCACCCTGTCTGGCTTTTCTGCTCCCCTTGTTTCCAGCAGGGAAAGCTCAGTACAAATACCATCTGCCTCTCCCCGGCAGGCAGGACCAGCAGCTCTGCTTCCCCAGAAATCAGGTGAGGAGCTACGCCAATGAGGGATTTTTTTTTTTTTAAATTTACTCTGTCTGTTGTCTCTTCACCAAGATTATGATTTCCTTTTAAAAACGTTTATTTGGTTTTATGTTTTTCCTGTATGAGGTCTGTGCTGAGCACACTAAGCACAGGGGCATGCTTTGTGATTAATTACAGGCTATTGAGAGAGTGGCGATTCGGTCATAACTCCCCTCTCCCTCCATCAATGTGACCTTGGTTTCCTCTTATACCATCTTGGGGTACAGGGCTAATGGGTAAGGATTGAGGGCTGTGGCTTTGAGTGAGGTCCTACTGCCTGCAATGTTTCCTAGATTAACCCCTGAGATGCTCATGAGAACAAAAGGCAATAAACACCCAGGGTCTCTTTGAAGTACAGGTTCCACAGTGGTATGTGTCAGTCTTGTCCCTGTGTCCCTGACCCTCTGCTTTCATTGCAGCACGATGAAGCTTCTCACAGGCCTCATGTTCTGCTCCTTAGTCCTGGGAGTCAGCAGCCAAGGGTGGTTAAGCTTCATCCCGGAAGCTTTTCAAGGTAAGATCCCTGGAGGAGGGAGGGGGCTGGCACCCATCTGCCACTGGGTCTCACCCTAAGCACATGTAAGGGTAGGAGCCAGTGTCTTGGGCTGTGCTGCTCTGTGTGGTAGAATGTGCCAGTAGATCGGGGAGCTCTTCTTTAAACAGATCGGACACCACAGGGTTTATCTCAGAAAAGAACTATCATCATTCCGAGCTAAAAGGTAAACGATTGTTTGATTACAAGACACAAAATAAGGCCTGAAATTGGTATAAAATTTCCCACAGACCAAATAGTATAAAGTATAATTAAAGCTATCCGTTAGCACTGTTTTCCTTCTTTCCTCTCCTTTTTTTCCTCCTTCCTTCCTTCTTCCCTTGCCTCCCTTTCCTTCCCTTCTTCCCTCCTTCCTTCCCTTCCTTTAGTTTCCTAGTTGGCTAATTTAAAGAGAAGCTCAGCCTAGCTCTTCCTGATGCTTCCTATTGCCTGTGACTCTCTTCCTGGTTAGGTCTGTTTCCTTCCATTTTGCAGCCTTTTAACTGAAAGGCAAATGGAACCAATGTGTATCAAGCCTCCAGTAGTAACTGAGCGCTTTCATGCATTTAGGGTGCCAAGCATGCCAGTGTGTGGGGTCTGAGGAATTTCCCATGACACAGTATTTTCATTGCTAACCGGGACAGTTGGTCACCCTGCTTGAACTTCAGAGGAACCTGGTGAGGCAGGCATCTTTCCCCATTTTGAAGGTGAGGAAGCTGAGGCTTAGGGCAGTTGAGTAGGTTGCCCAGGGACTTCCCGCCAGTCAGTAGGTGGCAGAGTGGAGTTCTGAATCTAGCTGTGCAGGATGCAAAAGCTCTGCTGGGTAGATGCATCTGATTAGCCTGTTCCTAGAGCACAGTAGTTATCAGTCTCAGCTACACGCTGGAGTCACCTAGAGAGCCTTACAAAATGCTCACGGGACTCACCTGCAGAGTGTGAAATAATTGGCCTGGCTGTGGCCTGGACATTGGAACCTTAAATATCTCCCCAGCTGATTACAATGTGCAGCCAAGGCTGAGAACCACTGCTATTGCTCTGCCCCAACCTACTAACATCATCACTACAGTCTATTTTGAAAGTTTTCAGGTTGATATTTATGTCCTCAATAGTCAGAATGACTCAAGTCAGGATTATCTGCACTTAGTTTGCAAGCATACATACTTCTTGGGCATCAGGGCAAAAGTGCTCTATGTCTGCAGCCTTTGTCAGAATCTGCCTTCCACATCACCACCACACTCAAACAGTCCCCTGCATCTTATCATATGTAGATTCACTGTGTAAGAGTGGTTCTCACTTGTGCCCCAGGGGACATTTAGCAATGTCTGTAGTCCTGGTGGCATAAGTGGTTAAGCATTTGGCTGCTAACAAAAAGGTCAACAGTTGGAATCCACCAGCTGCTCTTGGAAACCCTATGGGGCAGTTCTACTCTGTCTTATAGGGTCACTAAGAGTTGGAATCCCCTCGAAGGTAATAGGTTTAATGGGTAGTCATTTTCGGTTGTCACAACTTGAGGGGCAGGTGCTACTGTCGTCTAGTGGATAGAGGCTAGCGATGCTGCTAAACATCCTGCGATGCACAAGGCCCAACAAGGAATTATCAGGCCCAATATTTCAAAGCACCAAAGTTGAGAAACTTTGTTCTAGATAATATCTCCCTTCTCTCCTTTAAACATATCACATACAGCCCTAAATAAGGTGTAACACATCAGTTAGACAACCAAATACAACACAGCTGTGCCCATTTAATGCCTCTGATTAGAATTACCTGCAGAAGCCAATCAGGATTAAGGAATGTTCTTCTCAGCCTATGGCTGCTTAAGGATGCTATGAACACAGGTTGCAATCTGAGGCCAGGGGAAGATTTTTCATTGTTAGATTCCTCTCTAAGGTGTTGTCAGTGTCTGTGTTCACGTGACATCCCTTTTGCCATTTCCTTTCCTTTCCAGGGGCTCGGGACATGTGGAGAGCCTACGATGACATGAAAGAGGCCAATTATATAGGTGCAGACAAATACTTCCATGCTCGAGGGAACTATGATGCTGCACAAAGGGGACCTGGGGGCGCCTGGGCTGCTAAAGTGATCAGGTAACTGAGACACCTAGGGATGCTAGCAAACAGTTAGCAGAGCTTAGCTGTATTAAACAATCAGGAGAACTGTCATCCCTCATCCTCCTGCCCATCCTGCCCACCATACACATTGACGCCCAGTGCACGGCCTGGTGGCCAGCAGAGCCAGGGCATGGCTGGTGAAGACATGTGAAAATTCCCCCAAAACAAAGTGAGGGCCAAAGAGTGATTCCCAACCTGTTCCCTCTGGCTGTTCATTCGGCATAAGGGTGATAAGTCTGGGTTGAGTTGGACCTCTGCCCAGGCAGGGTTAATACTGTAGTCCCTCCTTCCTTGAGAACTGGTTTTCCTTGTCTCCTCTCAGAGTCAGCCTTGAAAATGGGAGAGGGTAGGGAGGGCGGGGCTACTGCACACCAGCCTAGAGACCGAGCTCCTGCCTTCTTGCCTTGATTCCAGCAATGCCAGAGAGAGAATTCAGGAACTCACAGGCCATGGACATGAGGACTCGCTGGCTGACCAGGCAGCCAATGAATGGGGCCGGAGCGGCAAAGACCCCAATCACTTCAGACCTGAAGGGCTGCCTGACAAGTACTGAGCTTCCTCTTCACTTGCTCTTGGATACCAAGCTGTGAGCCCCTGAGGGCAGGGACACAGAGTTAATGAGTTCTATGTCCCCAGAAGGTAGTAAAAGGGGCACAGCATGTTCTCAATAAATGTCTAAGAAATGGAATTAGTTGAAAAACTGTGTCTTATTCGTGATCACGTTTGGCACTGAGGGGTGATCAAAGAGCACCAGCGTGAAGGAGGAGCCTGGGCTGTGTGTTTGTGCACAGAGGGCTCTCAGCTGGCCTGAGCCCGGGAAGTCAGGCCCTTTTAGTTTTCTTGAACACTTCTGAAGGACCGTGAACTACAGGGCACTGCACTGACCTCCTTTCTAGTCTCACTGCTTCTTGCTTTTATCCTTCTAGTTAGGGTGGCCATAATATCGATCATCCAACTTAGGTAACTTTCAAGGGTGAAAAAGGGCACTGTTAATAATTATGGCAGGACATTAACAGGACACAAACCATAGCAAACAACACACAAACTCCAGAAGATAAGCTAGGTAACTGGGATCTTCTAAAAATTAAACACTTATGCTCATCAAAAGACTTCACCAAAAGAGTAAAAAGAGAACCTACAGACTGGGAAAAAACCTGTGACTATCACAAATCCACCAAAGGTCTAATCCTAAAATCTACAGGAAAAACACCTCTACAACAAAAGGACAAGTAATCCAATTAAAAAATGGGCAATGGATATGAACAGACACTTCACCAAAGAAGACATTCAAGGGGCTGACAGACACATGAGGGAATGCTCGTGATCACTAGCCATTAGAGAAACACAAATCAAAACCACAATGAGATACTATCTCACCCCCTATATATTATTTGCATGAATCAACAAAACAGAAAATAACAAATGTTGGAAAGGCTGTGAGGATATTGGAACTCTTAGCACTGCTGGTAGGAATGCAAAATGATACAATCATTTTGGAAAACGATATGGTGCTTCCTTAGAAAGCTAGAAATAGAAATACCATATGATCCATCAATCCCACTCCTAGGAATATATCCTAGAGAAATAAGAGCCGTCATACAGTAGACATATGTGCACCCATGTTCATTGCAGCATTGTTCATAATAGCAAAAAGATGGAAACAACTTAGATGACCATCAGCAGATGAATGGATAAACAAACTATGATACATATACACAATGGAACACTATGCAATGATAAAGAACAATGATGAATCTGCGAAACATCTCACAAAATGGATGAATCTGGAAGACATTACCCTGAGTGAAATAAGTCAATCAAAAAAGGACAAATATTGTGTGAGACCACTACTATAAAAACTCATGAAAAGGTTTACACACGAAAAGAAACAATCTTTGATGGTTAAGAGTGAGGGAAGGGGTCGGAGTGGAAAAACACTAAATAGACAATAGAAAAGTGGTACCTTTGGTGAAGGGTAAGACAGTACACAATACTGGGGAAGCCAGCACAGTGCGTCCAAGGCAAGGTCATGGAAGCTCTATAGACACATCCAAACTCCCTGAGGGACTGAATTACTGAACTGAGGGCTGTGAGGACCACGGTCTCGGGGAACATCTAGCTCAATAGGCATAACATAGTTTATAAAGAAAGTGTTCTACATTCTACTTTGGAGAGTAACGTCTGGGGTCTTAAAAGCTTGTCAGCAGCCAGTTAAGATACTCCACTGGTCTCACCTCCTCTGGAGCAAGGGAGAATGAAGACAGCCAAAGACACAAGGGGAAGATTAGTCCAAAGGACTAATGGACCACAAATACTTCAACCTCCATCCTACTGCGTCCAACACAACTAGGTGGTTCCCAGCTACCCCCACTGACTGCTCTGATAGGAATCGCAGTAAAGGGTCCTGGACGGAGCTGGAGAAAAATGTAGAACAAAATTCTAACTCACATACACACAAAAATACCAAACTTACTAACAGAGACTGGAGAAACCGCGAGATGTGACCCCTGGACATCCTTTTAGCTCAGTAATGAAGTCACTTCTGAGGTTCACCCTTCAGCCAAAGATTAGACAGGACTGTAAAACAGAACAAGACTAAAGGGGCACACCAGCCCAGGGGCAAGGATGAGCAGGCAGGGTGGAATAGGAAAGCTGGTAATGGGGAGCCCAAGGTCGAGAAAGGCAGGGTGTTGACACGTCGTGGGGTTGGCAACCAATGTCACAAAACAATATGTGTACTAATTCTTTAATGAGAAACTAGTTTGTTCTGTAAACCTTCATCTAAAGTACAATAAAAAAATAATTATTATTATGCCAGGATAACACGAACAAATACTACTATCTGTGAGTTTGTCATAATGTTGTGACTTGTGTTTTCCTATGATGCTAGAAGCTATGCTGCTAGTGTTTCAAATACCAGCAGAGTCACCCATGGTAGATAGGTTTCAGTGGAGGTTGCAGACTAAGACAGACTAGGAAGAAAGGCCTGGCAATCTACTTCCAAAAATTAGCCAATGTAAACCTTGTGGATCACAACAGAATATTGTCCAATATAGTGCTAGAAGGTGAGCCTCCTGGGTTGGAAGGCACTACACAATAGCCACAGCAATGGACTCAAACATACTATCAGTCTCAGAGATGGCACAGACTGGGCATTTCACTCTGTTACACATAAGGTTGCCGTGAGTTGGAAGGCAACTAACAACAGGAACAAACTGAGACTGTCCTGAGCAAAACAGGACATGTGGTCCCCCTACCTCTCTGCCCAGCATTCAGAATGATCTTTACAAACCATGATCAGATCTCGTCCCTTCCCTGCTTAAAGTCTTTCAATGGATCTGGTCCCTGGCCACCCTCCAGCGTTATCTCTTACCACACTCTCCCAGGATCACTACTCTGTATCCATAGTGGCCTCATTCAGTCACGCCAACAAGGTGAGCTCCAATTGTTGCCCTGAAGAACTTGCAGTTCACCTGAAAGGAATGCAGTTGGCTGACAGCCTCCAGCTGTTAGCACCTTCAGGATCCCCTCAGCTTTCAAGTCAAGGTCACATTCTTCTCAGGGTTCCCAGCTAAGGTATGAGCACAGCAGGGTACAAGGACCTGGCCATTTCTGTCCAATGCAAGACTCCTCTAAGTGACAATCTCTGCTCCTGTGCCCCTACTGGGTTGGCTGAGACTTTGAAACCTGCATCATGTTCTAAAGGGTTTCCCTCCCCAATTCTGCTGCTTCCCAAAGGGCCCATCTGACACATCCCCTGAATCAGAATCCCCATTTTAACAAGATTCTCTGTGCTTGTTTCAGAAGTACTGGTCTAGAACAAATGGGTTAATGACTAATGGGAAACGTCTCCTAAGCAGAACTGAAGCAGGGATGACTACAAGGTTTTGAGCCTGCACTAGGTCAGTGACAAATCTAATATGCACAAGGAAATTATTAACTTCAATTTTGGTCTTAGCACTCTCGGTTTCATATAAACCAGTGTGTATTGGTCTGATGGTTGATGCAAAGGGTTAATGCACTTGGCTACTAACTGAAAGGTTGGAGGATCCATCCACGCAGAGGCACCTAGGAAGAAAGACCTGGCGATCTATTTCCAAAAAATCAGCCACAGAAAACCCTATGGAGTACAGTTCTACTCTGACACACATGGGGTCACAATGATTCAGAATTAACCCAATGGCAACTGGTGATGGTGGTGGGGGTGGATCACTACTACTACTTTCAACATTACCTGTTCACTATGCAACAGGCACTACGCTCTGCACTGTACAGTCTCATTTAATTCTAAAAATTAACTACGCTGTTTCTATGTGCCATTGTGTTACGTGCTTTACATTCATTATCTCATTTAATCCTTGAACCACCCTCAGTAAGTGCTACTATTATCCCATATTACAGATAAGGAAACTGAAAGTTAGAGAAATAAAGTGACTTCTCCAGTGTCATTTAGATAAACAGCATATATTCAAACCCGTGCAGTCTGCCCTAGAGCCCAAGCTCTCAGGCACAAGGCTACACTGTGGCCCTGTTAAAAAGTCTTCAGATCTGGAAACAAATGTAAAAGTGAACTTCAGTAGTGTTGTAGGGAAAAAAATCACAAAGTTTAGTAAAGCAAAAAGAAAATTTTATTTGACATATATTCAAAAAAAGAAAGTGGGAAGCAGACAAGTATGCTGCCACAGCCATGTCTGCCCAAGTCCAAGGAAATATTACAGAATAAGCAAAAACGGGCAAACAGACAAGCGTGCTGCTATAGCCATGTCTGCCCGAGTCCAAGCAAACATTACAGAATGACCAGTATATATTAACATTACAAAATGGGCAAAATGACTGAAAGCTTCACCTTTTCACAGAATGGCTAGAAATTCTCATCCTACATTTTGAATTGTCTTTCTTAACAATCATTGGTACAGTCAGGAGGGTCCTTAGTGGTCCAACAGATTTGCTATTCACTAAATATTAATAGAAAAAGA